GGCAGGGAGTTGAGGGCGCCCCAGTGGGCCCTATCTTGAAGAAAAGGGGGGGGGGTTCAAACTTGGGCCAACAGACTGTAAGTAAATAAATTCGGGCTTGCCAAGCTATTTGACCCCAATCAGGTTGGGGAGGCCCCATATCTTACTACATTAAGTTCTACAAAATTAACAAAAGGATGGGCTACCTAGGATATGGCGAAACGAAAGCGGTTTTGTCCTCACCGTTGTGTACTGAAGTATGGAGGACCATCTACTAGGTCCATTGTATTTTCTTTATTTTATATCAGAATTAAATACTACTGTATCATGTGTTAAATGAAATGGGCATTAATGACCTACCCGGCCCATTAGAATCCTACCGTAGGACTTTTGACCCCACATTAGTAGACATTTCGTAACAAGGTGCTATCTTAGCATCTGCCTGAAAGGACTGAGGAAATCCACAATAAACTCCAATCAGGACAACATGTATTCTCACCAAGATTTGAATCAAGCACCTCCCAAATACGACCCAACAGCATTACCCCTACATCAGGCACAGTGATACAGCACTACAGCTGACCCGGTCATGCATCTGTAACCTTGATCAGTTCTCAGTAGGGTAATTAATAGATCTGGTAGAGCAGGGATTTATCTCGGAGAATATTGCCTGTGGAACCAATGTGGACGCAGTATAGGTCAACAAATTGGCACAGAATGGGACATGGAATTGAAGGAGACTCTCAACAGTATGACTCTTAATTGATGGTTATAATTAATTGTATTCACTAGGCATTCAATAAATAACAATACAACACTTATGCATCTCGCATACTCTACTATTCTGATAGTGTATCACACAGGGTTAACTTCATCAAAAGTGCAAGTGCTACAAGTGGTCAAACTAGTAGATTTGAAGAAGTAGCAGAAGCTGTAGAATTAATAGAATTTGCAGTTTTGTCTCTGAGAACATAGATTTAAGTAACGTCAGTAGGCAGGACTGGCCAAAATCTAATTTTAAGTAAGAGTTTCTGACTGGGTCTGTATATGGCTCCAAATGCATGTAACAATTCAACTGTCCATTCTGATAAGAAGATGTAAATTCTTACTAGCCAAATGACTTGCATCAGTGCATCCCCCAGATGTGTCATACTATGGACAGGTAAGATCATCACGCTAAACACTGTCCATCCGCATCTGTGACCTTAAATGAAAAGGAAAGATTTACCTTAAGAAGAATGCACTTGTCTCAGCTACAACTGTTGAGACAATACTTCTACAACACTTGCTTCTGCTGCTACAACACAAACCGGATCTTGCCATATCCAGTATCTCATAACCAAGTGTGGTACCAGTGCATATCTGGGGTTTGAATCCGGACTTCACTGATACAGCATTTGGGATAGTAATATCTTTACAAATAAAATGGACTTAAAAATATTGGAAAATAGTTATTTAAAATTAGATGTAAGTAAGATATAAAAATTTGTGACAATGGTAAATTAGTACAAATATTATGTTTCTGGACATTATCCATCGCCCTGTCTTTATCTAAAAACACCGTCCTGTTTACTTTTCAAAACATGTTTTGGAGACTGGATTCCATCACTGGAAATAGACTGGTTATATCGACCGGGCCCAACTGAGTAGGTTTTACCTGAAGACAGAAGCAGAATCCAGTCTCTGAAACGTTGTTTTGGAAAATAAACAGGACAGTGTTTTTGAATAAATACAGGATGATGGATAATGGCCAGGAACATAATATTTGTGCTAAAATTAAATGTAATTAGAAAGTAAAATTAGTATAAGATACAAGGCAGAAGGTTATGGGGAAACAGAAATATATATATATATATAGCAAATAGTGAGGGAATAGCAAGAAGAGTGACGGTACAATGATGGTAACAAGAGCAGCTGTAACAGGACCTAAGACCCAATGCAAGTAGGCATATGTATGCACATGAATAATCTGTGTACCAGCATGAACCTGGTGTTGTATTGACACAGATATGCAGTAAATTGAAAACTGAAATTGAAACAGCGAATAAGAACAATTTTACAAATCCCCAGAAAACAACTTGGTATACCAACATTACTGCTGAAGCCTGTACTTGTTATTTTATGCAAACATCTTGGAGGTATCTCTCAAATTTGCAGTTTACAGCTATGCCTTACAAAAACTACCACTAAATTTCACAGAAAGGTTTTGGTGACTTCCTTGGCACAATCAAGCAATGGAAAATAAAACAAAATGAGCAACCGCAAGGTTTCATCTTGCCTAGCAGCACAATCTTGGTCTTTCAACTTCTGCATGTTCCACTGATGTCATCTGCAAGGAATGGTGGTTCTGTCCGACTCCACTTTCATTTCCAACACTTGAAACAGGACTCATTGGGTCACTTAAGTCATAGATCCTTAGGCTAGAGCACAGAGAATCCTGGGCTAGTCGAATCAGCCCTATGGCTGTATTGAGAAACACATCTTCTATTCCTACAAATACAAACATAACATTAACATGGGCTGGAAAACAAACGAGCTGCACTACACACATTTTATTATTATTATTGCCAGAAAATATAAAGTATATTTCTCAGCATCTGAAGATGATTTTGTCAAAAAGAGCTTACACCACCACCATTGGACACCATTGTGTCCAAATACTAAGACTGTTCCAAACTCCAGTCCCATCTTAATGTAGGTCTGCCAGTAGCCCTTAGTCAGCAAGGCACATATTTCAGTATCTGTTCGGGTTTCAGTTCAGTTTCATTCTTTCTAAAGGATATTCCCAGTTATAAGCACCAGGAATCTTCCCGGGGGGATACAGAGCAGCCAGTGCGTAAGGCTGACAACCTCAATGCCATCTGTGAGCCAAATGTCTATAAAATGTGGGAGTCACATTCCACACCCTATGGGCCTACATGCCTTGTTATAGGGATCGCTTTACATTTTTATATTTTTTATTACCAATTTTTTATCTTGCATTAAAGTACCTGTAATTCTTGTCTCATTTGCTGATTTGGTATTGTATCTAATCCCTTGTAGCCCTGTATTCCTTGGATACATTTAATTTATCTTTCTGTTATTTTATATCTATCTTTTCCTATAAATTCATTCAGCCCACTGCATGACTACCAGTGCACTGGCCAGCATTTGTGCCTTATATCTTTCTTAGGACCCTAGAACAGAATTTTGTGGGGCCCTAAACTATGATAAAGATGATATCACTACATTCTTTTTGAGTATTGTAGAAAGAATAATTAATAACTATTACAAATTTGTAGCTGAATAATTATAAAGGCAGAATTTGCATGACACGATAATTTTAGAGAAAACTTGTCAACAATCAGAGAGATCCACTAGAAGTGAAAGCAAGGAGTGGTGTTACCTCCTAATTCATTTTCAATTGTTACTGTCCCTGTATGTGTAGTTTCCATAATTTCAATATGAGATAGAGTTAGGTATATGAAGGCTATTCGGAAAGTGACCTTCAGTTAGCTGCTAATAGAACAAACAATTGGGGGGGGGGGAATTTATTGTTGTAGTACTATAGTTGTAGTGTTGGCCGTATTTATTTTGTGATATATATTGTTCATAAGTTGGTACCACACCCACTGCTACTTTCTTTTGTTAATGTACCTTTGGTAACTTGTAATGTTTGTGAATTAAGTTAGTCTCCAGTAAATGTTAGATTTGGACGAAGGCGTTTCATTTCTTATCCGTTTTTACCTCGATGATCCAGTGTGATTTCACAAAGGAAACAACAGGTTATGGGCCCAGAGTCTTCAAGCACTGCGCCGGACATCGATAAAACGGATTGGAGACTCAGAAGACAAGTGAAGACAATAGGATAAGTGAAGATACGGACCTAAACGGCAAAGACGGCCATTTCTCGGTCCCACGTGCTGCATGGGATTTTGAAGAAAGGAAGTAAATAAGACGATATAAGAAGACGATATAATATTTCAAGATGTCAGAAGAAGTTTACTGAAGATGCATAGAACCTTTAAATGACGATAACTACACAATCTGGAAACACTGAGTAACGCTAACCCTAAGAAAGAGGAAGCAATGGGAAGCCGTGGAGCCTGGATATGGAGTAGAAGAGGATTGGACACCAGGTCAGATTCAAACAAATCTTGAAGCACTTAACTTTATTACTGAGAATACAGAAGATAAATATGTACCGTCGATAACACATCTGACTACAGCTGCAGAAGTTTGGCAAAAGCTGAAAAGGCGAAACTGTGAGTACACATAGGTCCATATTGCCTTGATGATTGAAGAATTAGCTTTGACCAAAAAGACTGACGAAATAAGCATGAATGAGTACCTAACGAGGAAACAAAATTTAATTTTGAAGTTGAAGAATGCTAATGTACCGTTTAGTGAAGGAGCACATATTAGTTTTATTTTCAGCGGGTTACCCAACAATATGAAAATCTCATGTTATCCTTTTCAAGTAAAGAGGACAAAACATCCTTAGAAGAGGTAATTAGCAAATTATACCTGACAGAAAAACAAGATAAAATTCACAGAGATTTTGAGAACAACAAAGAAGAAAAAGCCCTTTTACTTAGAAGAGAATCTAGGTACCAGAAGAATAATAATTATTACCCAAAACGTGATGGAAAATTCAAAAACCAAAGTAAAGGGATCAATTGTGACCAAAATGTAAAGAAGAATGTAATTTGTTTTGCATGCAATCAAGCTGGACATATTGCTAAATTGTGTCCAAAGTTTAATGTCCTAAAGAATAATGGGGGAACCGCCAAAATAGCAGAAGTTCAAAAGGAGAATGAAGAAGAAGAAGAAATAGCTGTAGTAGCGGAGGAACACATTGAAACAACAGAGGAATTTGTCATGACAGCTCATGCAGGAAGTAGGTCCGAGGAGTTCAGGGATCTGTGGATTCTTGATTCAGGAGCATCCCACCACATGACGCCCTACAAGGATATATTCGACAACTTAAATGAGGGTGTAAGAGGAAACGTCATGTTGGCGAAAAGGAAGACGAGTACTCCTTTGCTGGGTAAAGGGAGTGTAGCCTTAAAGGTAACAAATGAATATGGAGGCAAGAAGTTAAGATTAAATAATTGTTCATATGTACCTGGTTTGGATTGTAACTTGTTGTCAATGAGACAATTAGATAGGTTGGGTTGTGAAGCACATATAAAGAATGGGATAATAACAGTCTCAAAGGATGGAGTTGTCATTTTTGTAGCCAGGGGAAAGGGAGATCAATTATACCATCTTCAGTGTGAATATTATACAGTGTCAGGCAAGAGTTTGATGTGTAGTATAAGTAGTAAGGTGGAAATAGAAAAGAGAATGAATCTTATGAAGGCCAAGGCCCTGAAGTGTGAAGCCATATGGCATCAGAGATTTGGACATATGAAAACCCTACCAAAGTTTTGTGGTGTAGATGAGTGTCAGTTAAATTGTGATGTATGCATCACAGGAAAGTTACACAGAAAGAAATTTTGTAAGAATTCCAAAAGTGCAGAGAATGTTTTGGAGGTGATACATTCAGATGTATGTGGTAAAATTACACCACAAAGCTTGGGTGGGAAACAGTATTTTGTAACCTTTTTAGACGATAACTCAAGATTCTCAACTGTTGAAGTTTTAACAAACAAGTGTGATGTATTACCAGCCTTTCAAAGATATGTAGAGAAAGTTGAAGTGTTACAAGAGAGACGAATTAAATTTTTACAATCAGACAATGGGGGAGAATATTGCAGTGCAGCATTTAATGAATACTTGGATCAGAAAGGAATAGGCAGAAGGTTAAGTGTAGCTAGAACCCCACAACAAAATGGACGCTCTGAGAGGTTGAATAGAACTTTGCTATGCATTGTTCGTTGCATATTAGAGAATGCAGGATTGCCGAAGTCTTTCTGGGGAGAGGCGGTACTCACCGCAAGTAATATTAGAAATTGTTGCCCATCTAAAGCAATCCAAGGAAGAATTCCCATTGAAGTCTGGTCTAAGAAGGCATTTACTATAGATATGGCCAGAGAAATGAAAGTTTTTGGCTGCAGGGCTTGGGATCTGAATTTAAATGTCAAGGATAAACTTGACAGCAGAGCAGTTGAATGTATTTACCTTGGTAGTGCTAGGGACGCTAAAGGGTATAGACTCTATAGTGTAAATGAGAAGAAGATTCGCATATCCAGAGATGCTAGGTTTGAAGAAAGTGTTTTTCCTTATAAGACTATTATTCGAAAGACTGTGATTCAGACTAAGAGTGAAACACCCATTTATGTATATGATTCAGACTGTACTGATACAGAAGACAATGTGGGTGGGTCGCATCCCAGTGTAGATGAGAATGATGATAAACCTAGTATAGTAGGTAATGACATAAATGTGGATAATTTGGAAAATGTACCCCAAGAAAATGTACAACCCCGTAGAACCACGAGAACTATTAAGCAGAAAGTTGTATGTGAATGTTGTGCTAAAGTAGATTGTGGTGAAATTACATTGGCAGAACCTAAATCTGTAGGGGAGGCGCTTAGTAGAATTGATAGAGATCACTGGATTGGAGCAATGAAATTAGAGATAGAGAACTTGAAGAAAAATCAAACTTGGGAAGTTGTGAGAAAACCAAAGAATGTTAATGTTATAGGTTCCCGGTGGGTATTTAGCCTGAGAAAGAAAGATGATGGCACTTTTAAGTATAAAGCCAGGTTAGTAGCCCAAGGTTTCCATCAAGTTTATGGTATAGATTTCTGGGATAGCTATAGCCCAGTAATGCGACGAGCGTCCTTTAGGATCCTAATGGCTTTGTCTGTTGATAGAGGATGGGAGGTTGATCATGTCGACGTTGTAGGTGCATATTTAAATAGTACTCTGAAAGAAATTGTATACATGCGCCAACCCGAACTGTTTGAAGAGGGTAATGCTGATGATGTATGTTTACTTTTGAAAAGCATATATGGATTACATCAATCTGGGAAGGACTGGAATGATACTATTACTTTCATCTTTGTCAGTTTCGGATTGAAACAGTGTACTAAAGATCCATGTGTTTTCTTTAATGACAGGATTATTGTGGCTATTTATGTCGATGATATGATTATTTGTGGAACTAGAAAGGATGTGAATGACTGCAAAAGACAACTTTCTCAAAGGTTAAACGTTAAAGATTTGGGACCTGTGTCAAATTTTTTAGGTATTAATGTGGATAGACCCAATGGATATGTAATTAAAATACATCAAGAAAATTATGTGAATGAAACACTGAAAACTTTTGGTATGCTTGATTGTAAAGGATGTGTAACTCCAAGGGACCCAAACTATAACAATTTTCTCGATGGTGACAAGCCCTTTGATGAGATTCAGTACAAGGCAGCAGTAGGTAGGTTGCAGTACATTGCCACTTGTACTAGACCAGATATTGTTTTTTCAACAAATCAAGTCAGCAAGTTTTGCCATTGTCCGACCAAAGGGAGATGGCTGGAGGTGATGAGAATTATGAGATACTTGAAACATACAATTAAATACCGGCTGACCTATGAAAAATCTGAAATTGACCCAGTAATTTATTCTGATTCTGATTTTGCTAACGATGTACATGACAGTAAATCCGTGGCGGGTTATGTTATCATGATGTCAAAGGGAGCTGTGTCTTGGAAGTCCAAGAAACAAGACATTGTAGCCACATCTACCAACGAAGCTGAGTATATAGCGTTATATGAGTGTAGCAAGGAAGTTATTTGGATGAGAGAGTTTCTGTCAGAAATTAATGTAGCAGTATCTACTCCTAGTATAATCTTTGGAGACAATTTACAGGCAAATGATATGTGCACAAAGAATAAGATTACTGAACGCAACAAGCATTTTAGAATGCGGCAACATAAGATTAGAGAATATGTTAATGATGGAGATATTAGTATCCAGTATGTAGATTCAAGCACTAATTGTGCTGATATGCTGACTAAAGCTACTAATGGTCCAAAGATAAATGAGCTGTCTTTAAAGATAGGTTTGAAATTCGGTGTGGAATTGTAAACCTGTTTTACTTTTTGGTTTAAGTATAGATTCTGACTGTAAAATATGTCCAACAAGGGGAGGTGTTGTAGTACTATAGTTGTAGTGTTGGCCATATTTATCATGTGATATATATTGTTCATAAGTTGGTACCACACCCACTGCTACTTCTTTTGTTAATGTACCTTTGGTATCTTGTAATGTTTGTGAATGAAGTTAGTCTCCAGTAAACGTTAGATTTGGATGAAGGCGTTTCATTTCTTATCCGTTTTTACCTCGATGATCCAATGTGATTTCACAAAGGAAACAACATTTATTATATACAAAAATGCATCCACACTTAAGGTACTTCTCAACATAGTCATCACTGGAATTGAGGCACTTGTTGCATTGGGAAATAAGTTTTTGTATGCTTGTGTCAAATAAGTCTGCTGCCTGTGAGCTGAGCCACATTTTGTATTGCGATGCTCTCAAGAACTGCACAAGGCCATTCAGAGCAAAAAGTGTGGAATGCTGACATCCAGTGTAGCGCTCCTCCATGACAATGTGCATCTGCATACAGCTGCTTGCATTCAAGCACTGCTGGAGCGTTTCAACTGTGAGTTCTTTGACCACCCTCCTTGCAGCCCTCATCTCACTCCGAGTTACTACCACCTGTTTACCTACCTGAAGAACTGGTTGGGATCACAGTGCTTCAACAATAATGAGGAGTTGATGGAAGGTGTCAAAACATGGCTGAGCTCACAGGCAGCAGACTTTTTTGACACAAGCATACAAAAATGTATTCCCCGATATGACAAGTGCCTCAGTTCCTGCGATGATCATGTTGAGAAGTAGCTTAAGTGTGTCTGTATTTTTTGTATATATTATTATTTTCTCGTTGCTTGTTTTGTTGACAGCTCATCAGAGGTTACTTTCCGAATAGCCCTCTGTTCTCTTCCAAATTTGACATCACGGTGTTGTGTCTCTTGGGAAGTCCCTCAGACTATGAAGGCCTATGCTCTTAGCTAATTTAGCTCATATGAAACACCGATCTGTGTATAAAGACCAATTTACTTGATATTCAACTTTCATACTGCAGATGCAAAACTTAATTTAAAATGTCGCTGCCAACACAATTTATCAGTTATGGTTACTGTAAACAAAATATCACCTTCATCATTTACAGCCGATGATTCAAAGTAGTTTCCACCAATAGAGGCTGCATACTGCAAAGCTTCTTCCCTTGTGACCTGACGCCGTGACTCTAGGTCTGTCTTATTCCCAACGACACTCAGAACCATAGGCTCCAGAACATTGCGTTGTAGTTCTAACAGAAGCAACACTATGTGTTAGTGTTAAACACTTAAATAAGCATGGATTGTTCGGACGTTATTTAATCATTTCAACAGTTGATTCTGCATACAGATACAAAGGTAATGTGTTTAATTTAACTGTTTAGAGATAGCATAACACGATTGTTTCACTGACCTCAACTGTGAAACATATCCAGATAAAAAGTGCTTGTCAACTTTCAACATTACTGATTAAACCTATTATCATTAGACCTCATTCAAAGCTGGTTTATTTGAATATATATCCTCATATACTATTTCTGTGAAATACATACTAACAAGATAAAAAAAGGTAAAGTTGTCCCCGTGCTTAACTAATTAAGAACTATGCAATGAAGACGTATGGGGGGCTGGATGTATAGACCAACATCTTCTTGATTCAGCACTAGTTGGAGGTGAGTGGTCAGCTTCACGCCCCGGCCGCTTTACTCCCAGGGAAAGAGCACCCGTATCCATTGGATAGGAGGCTCAGTGAGCCCCAGAGCTGGTTTGGACGATGTAGAGAAGAGATAATTCTTCTCTTCACTGGGACTTGAACTCTGACCCCTTGGCTGTCCAGCCTGTAACCAGACACTATACCGACTGAGCTATCCTGGTCCTCCATACTAACAAGTCTATTCTTAATGTCACACACATTACAGGAACAAAGTAAGATGAATCGGCAAAGAGGGAATATGTTCTACAAAATATCACAATATAGTGTTCCTCAGCAAGGAAATGGTTGTAATTCAGCTACTGAATGTGAGATCCGAGGCTCTCACAGCACTAACTACAAAGACTGGCATCTTCTGGGACTTCTAACAGAGTGTAAACTTCTACCAAAATACAAGGCACTACATCCTGGAAGTCAGTATTCTTCACTAATCTACATTTTACACGTGCAAATGTATGCCAAACTGAAATGCACTCACACTGAACCCTCAAGCTCATATATCTGACAAAATGTCTATGAATTACTAGAATATCCTGGCTGAGCCATAGTTCGGTTGCCGGCTTCTCACTGTGCAGACATGGGATCAATCCCAAGAGACTTCAAATGCCATCTGTGGTAGAAAAAATGGCATTGAAGCAGGTTTCTCATGAGTTTCTTCAGTTCCCCTGTTAACCCTCATTCCATTATTTCTCCATACTCAGCTAAGACTACTTGGAGTGTACCACAGCCCTGTCCAGGCAGTACATTAACACATCCCAGATCTTTAAATTGGCATCTTATCTCTGGCTTGACACTTGATTGGTTATAGAGCAAGAAGTTCAATTCTCCTATAGTATTTTCCACAAAGCATTAATTACAACAAAAAAAAAATGCATAAAATTATGAGCCGGGGTAGCGCAGTAGGTATAGCGCCTAGCTATGGGGTAGATGACTGAAAGGTCAGAGTTTGAGACCCGGTAGTGTTAAGAATTTTCTCTTCTCCAAATCGTTCAGAGCGGCTCTGGGGTCAACCCAACCTCCTAACCAATGGGTACAGAGTGCTCTTTCCCTGGGGGTAAATTGGCAGGGGCGTGAAGCTGACCACTCACCTCTAATGCCGAGGTGAAGAAAATGTGGATCTATACATCCACTCCCCCACTAGCCTTCATGGCGTAGTGTTTAATTAGTTAAGCACAGGGACTTTACCTTTTTAATGCATAAAATTACTTTTAAGATTGTTCCTGTCTACACACGACCATCAAAACTCACACACACACTTCACTGTGCAATAATGAGTTCATTGGTCTTATGGCATTATATTGGGGCATGTAGTAGTGTAGTTGTTTGAGGCACTATGCTACAAGCTGTAAATTCACAGGTTCAAGTCCTGATGAGGGGGATTCTTTTCAGTTTACCTAATCCTTCCAGCCACACTATGGCCCTGGGGGGTAAAGGGCTGCCAGTACCTAAGACTGACAACTTTACCACCATCCGTGAGCCGACTGTCTAGAGAATAAACACAGTTCAGGTATTTGTTTCATTATTTTTGAAGACATATCATGTGCATCACAGTATATTAGAATGCTATAAATAAGTTTACTAAATTTTAAATTATTTAATACTTTTTATAGGTTACACAGCAGTATGACAGTGACAGATATATTCTAACAGATATGTAAGAAAACAGGAACCACCCATTTCAAGATCATATACTAATAATTACCTAAGGGACTGGGAAAAACCGGTAAGAAAAGGCCATCTCTGGATTTAAAATCAAACCTGGAGGCTCCCAAACATGAATGAGTGCTGATTACTCAACCATAATATTCAGAGCTATCAGCAGTACAGGCAAGTGGTGATATAAACATATTTAACTACCACTGTCCAGAAACAAAAATACTTCTTTCAGAATTAATTCAGACAATTTTGATAATGAATGACTTGCGCCACTGAGGGCAGTTCCAACCAGATAGCTTATCATCACAAACAGATAGTGCAGGCTACTAGAGTGAGGATTCACTGCTGTTTAGTTGACCCACTCAGTTCTGCTATCAAAAACTTACCTTTCACCCAGGTTTTCATAGCATCAAATGTTTCATATTGTGTGATATCAAATACTATGAGTGCAGCATTGGCATTCCGATAATACATGGGGGCCATGGAACGAAATCTTTCCTGCCCAGCAGTATCCCAAACCTTGTAACAAAAGATATTATTCATAATGTGTATGTATTAACAGTGCATACAATCCCATTTATCACTTCTACACTATATGTTTCGGCAGTATGCTGCCATCTTCAGGTGTACTGCTCCGTTAACCATTTCATTGCAGATGTGGGCAGTCTTATCAACGTTTCAGGGGCAGTACAAATCTCTAAAATATCAGCAACACTGTCCACATCTACAAACTGCAAAAACCAAAAAGGCGATTCCAACATAAGCAGGCACAAAAGATGTCATCACATATGAGTATGCAGTAACTGTACCTGTAACTTGACACGTGTGTCTTCAACATTTAATCTGCAAGTGAAGAAAGACGCACCAATCGTTGGGCTGATGTGATGACTGAACATCTTGCCAACATATCTCACAACCATACTAGTTTTTCCAACACCTAGAATTATATAACGTATTCTCTATTAAACAATGCTTCAATAAAACTGTATTTGCATTATGTTCCGAGCTCTGGACACTGAATTTCAAAGCAGAATTAAGCATAATGTTTATGTACGGTATCGAACTTATCACTTGCACACTTAAAACACAATTTTGATTTAATTTTCATGATGCTCGCCCTAAAATTCGATTTTCTGTCAAATTAGATGCTAATACCAAAGTGTAAGATTTTATCACACTACTTCCACAGGTATACAAAACTGTTCTATAATACGAGTTACCTTGCGCTCCAAGCACCACAACCTTAGCTTCAATAGTTCTCATTTTATGCCACCGCGCTAAAACTTTTCTCCAAATGCTTAAAACAGCATATTTCACAAGTAACAGACAATAAAAACCACAGAAACAGAAATAATGTCACTTCTATATTGCTCTTCAATAGCATTGCTACATAGAATACAAACATACAACCAACGGCTTAAGCAATATAGCGTAACATATACATATATACTGAGGAATGACAACTCTATCTAATTGAGGAAAATGGGTAAAATTTGTATTGAGGAAAGTGCACTCAAAGAACACCAGTGCCATCTACTAATGAAAGTAAGAACTTGAGTAGTGACACCTATACTTAGATTTTCCAATTATTGGAAGATCAGAAGGAAAGAACTGAGATAGAGATGAATCATGGGCGGGAGAGTTTTTCAAACTTTGCGGTACCCCTATCTATAGGTGCCGTCCATATTTCTTTTATATTTACTTACGTATAATGTGCAGTTTACCGTCTGGCAACAAAGTACAGCAGTGAGCGACATATACATGGCACTAACTCTATGTCCTTGAAAACATTCAGGACATCCATTTTACTGCACAATATACGGTAATTAAGAAATTCTGAATGTGTCTGAAGGTACAAACATCCCTCCAGGAAGACGTGTGGGGAAGTGGACCTCCTGATGATACTAAATGGGAATCCTCAGCTTCAGGCTGCGACCGCTATTCCCCGGAGAATGAGCTCCCGGTATTCACTGGATAGGAGGTAAAGTAATCTGCAGCTAGCCCACAGCCATTCTATTCATTTCCCTTCACCCCTGTTCTGGATCACAACTAACATTCTTGGAAATGAACACGAAAAGTCTGAAGCCATATTTAGGTTATAGTATGTTTATTTTTAATTCTTTGCTTCATATCAAATCCAGAATAGTGTCTTCAGGAAAATGTTTGGACCTTCGAGAGAGGAAATAACAGGAGGCTGACGAAAATTTCATAACGAGTTTCACAATTTTTTTTTAATTCGCTTAGGGTGTGGTGGAGCCCAACTAGGTCCACTCGGCACGGCGGCTACTGATTGGCCTATTATAGCCTGCCCCGGGTGATTATGATGATGGAGAATTTGGTGGAATGAAGATTGACAGTGGAAAACAAAGTACTCGGAGAAAACCCGCCCCAGCGCCACTTTGTCCACCACAAATCCCACCTGACCAGACCCGGGATTGAACCCGGGCCGCCGCTTGAGCTATGGCGCGGCCCAAACAAAATATTACTGGTGTGATTAAGATATGGGGAGGTTAGAATGATGGGGCATAGATCCACAGCGCAATGGAGAGATCAGAAACGTAGGTCGGAATTTCAGTACGAAAATCTGAAGGGAATAAACCACTTACGAGATTTTGGCGTAGATGGGAACAAGAATGAATTTAATCTTAAAGAGGTGACAGTGTGTGGTCTGTGTTCATGCAGCTCAGGATATGGTGTAATGGCGGGTTCTTGTGGCTCCAAAAAGGTGGAAAGTTTCCTTACAAGCTTTACACCCTGACAGTTTTACCCTCTGGAGAAAACCAGTATACACTAGACAGTAGGCTGTTTGGGCCCCATAGTGGGGTTGAGAGTTTTAGAAAAGAGAAAAATTCCTGGCCAAGATGGGGATCGAACCATGACTGAGCTATCCCGGCTCACATTAATAATGTTGTGCAGCTGGTACTGATGGTCACTGAAACGAGAACACGTACGGCGCCCACGGCCGCAGTAGAGGCAGGGCGAAGCGGGGCGGCTCACCGGTGCTGTACTGCGCGCAGGAACGGGGTCCAGCCAAATCTTTTAAACATGGCGACGTCAAATACACGCAGTGGCTAATAAACACTCCGTTATTACCATTAGTTTGTTTAAAATGGGAAATTTAACTCCAATAACAGAATATTGCTGTACAAAAATATTTGAAGGAAAAACAAATAACGTAATTTAATGAAGGTTCTACATAAAATTAAAATACAAGGGTTTATAACGTACTTAATTTTCGAATAGCTCAGTTGGTATAGTGACGGGCTACGAGCTGGACGGCCGGGGTTCAATTCCCGGCAGTGGCAAAAGATTTTTCTCTCCTCCACAATGGGTTCCGGGTGCTCTTTCTCCAGGGGTAAAGCGATAGGAGAATGAAGCTGACCTCTCACCTTCATCGACTACGCTATCCCGCCTCCCTTCCGTACAGTAGAGGGGAAAGTATTTCCCCAACTAACTAACTAACTAACTAACTAACGCCAGGGAGCTGAGTCAATCTTGAGAAGACAACAACTGCTCAGCCATACAAGAAATTCCAGAGTTTCATGGAGCCCAAAGGTTCATTACCATGTTCATAACAGCCTGTCACTTCTTCCTAACCTGAGCCAGATGAATCCGGTTCACACCACACACTCTGCTTGTTCATGATCGATTACAATGTTTTCGCCTCATCTACATCTAGATCTTTCCAGTGATCTTCTTTCGGGTTATCCTACTAAAATTGCTTGCATTTCTATTCTTGTCTATCCGTGTTACATGCCCTGCCCATCTTACCTTCCTAGATTTGATCATTCTAACAATATCCGGCACGGAACACAAATTATGAAGTTCCTCAATATGCAAATTCCCTAGCCCCTTGTTATTTCTCTTCGGTCCAAAAATTCTCGTCAGTTCCCCGCTCTGAATCACACCCAGTCCATGTTCTTCCATTAATTTGAGAGACCCATACAAAGGTAAAGGTAAAGCTATCCTTCTAGCAAGCCGTGCAGTCCCATACAGTTGTGAAACGTCGAGGTTCCCACATTTTCTACACAATCGCCTCACAGATGGCGGTAAGGTTGTCAGCCTCAAGCGTCGGCCGCCATTTACCCCCCAGGAAGATTCATGGTACTCGTTTCTGTTAGAGGCTGAGTCGACCACAGGGTCCAGAGTGCGGCTGAAAGAATTACGTAAATTTAAAAATCGAATGACCTCATCGGGAATCAAACCTTCCGGCTTTTAGCATAGTGCCTCAACTACCGATGCTACAGCGTGCCCCATATCCATATAAAACTATAGCTGAAATTATAGCTTTGCATGCTTTCACCTTTATGTTTTTACACGGCAAATGAAATGAATTACAGCGAGTGTTACCCGAAATTAAGGTAAAGGTAAAGCTGTCCTTGTGCTTAACTAATTAAGCACTATGTTATGAAGGTGAATGTATAGATCCACATTTTCTTGATCTCGGTACTAGCTGGAGGTGAGAGGTGAGCTTCAAGCCCCGGCCGATTTACATCCCGCGGAAAGAGTCCCCGGTACTCATAGGATAGGAAGTTGGGTGGACCCCAGGGCCGGTCTGGACGACGTGAAGGAAAGGCTTGACCCTACCGGGACTCGAATTCCAAACTCTTCGTCGACCAGCCCATCGCCAGTAGCTTTACTGACTGTGCTATCCCGGCTCCTCACCCCAATTTAATCTAATCTTACTTCTTCATCAACCAAATTCTAGTTACTGCCATTCCCAAATGCATGAGTTTAGCTGTCTTTCTCCCTCATCCCGGTGGCAGGCCCAATTACTGTTCTCCGTTCTGTGTTATGTACACGGCAGGCCCACGAGAATATTCTACCTACCCTAACAGGGCCAACTAATGACCCTTTCAAACATGAGACGAACTTAATATTGGCCGTATGTGAGGAATTTGGAGTGGGTGTGAAGGGAGGCTGTCTAATCACTTCCCTTCGGATGATTTGTGGAGAGAAGTGGACTCAGGTAACGAGACACACCGGAAGTGTCGGGTAGTGGCGCCAACTCATGGCCTACTGCATGCTGGGAGCTGCAGGGGAAATGTCACCACTCAGCTTTATCATGCAGATGTAATTATGAAGCTATGCCATGACATTGGTAGATATAAGCTGTACACACGTGTTCCAAAGCGGTTGTTTGCGAATTTCTGTTACTCAGTTGTGTTGATGTTTATTTATTTGAGATCTACTGGGGGTTATTTCCCTGGGGGTAAAGTTCACTCATCACCCCTAACTAGAGCCTAAGTCAAGAATATGTGGATCCATACATCCATTCCCTCACGTCTTCAAAGCGTAGTACTTAATTAAGTACGGTGACAACTTTACCTTTGTAGGATTTGAGGTTATGAAAAGCACTGTCTTCTGAGATATAACGATTTGTAGTCCGTTGAAAGTCAACAGACGTTTCGGAGGAACATATCACCTCCATCTTAAGGGTCAAAGAATAAGTTGAGCAAGAAGCCAGAATGAAAGCAGGTGGAAAGCACAACTCTGCTTTCAAGTTAATTTCTTGCTCGGCTTATCATTCTACCCTGAAGACGGAGGCAATATGTTCCTCCGAAACGTCGGTTGATTTCAACGGACTACACGGCGTTATATCCTAGAACATAGTAATCTTAAATTTTACCGTTACCTTATACATGCCTATGTCAGAGCTGGGATAGCTCAGTCGATATAGCAGCTAGGCTATGGACGACCGAGGAGTAAGGGGGGATCGATTCCTGGTAGAGGCAAAGAGATTTCTCTATTACATAACGCTGAAACCGGCTCTGGGGTCCACCCAGCTTCCTATTCAATGAGTACCTTTTTTTTCATGTGGACAAAGCGACTGGGGCGTGAAGCTGACCACTCACCTCCGTCTACAGTAAGTTAAGAATGGTGGAGCTATGCCTCCAGCTGCAGCGCCACGTCTCAAGCCATTAGTCGCTGGCTTCCCATGGCGGCGGCCCGGGTTCGAGCCCGTGTCTGGTCAAGTGGGATTTGTGGTGGACAAAGTGGCGGTGGGGCAGGTTCTCTCCAAGTACTTCGGCTTCCCCTGCAAATCTTCATTCCACCAAATTCTCCATCATCATAATCACCCAGGGCAGGCTACAATAGGCCAATCAGTGGCCGCCGTGCCGAGTGGACCCAGTTGGCCCCCCCCCCCACCATTATGCGAATTAAAAAGAATATACCTCCTCTCTCTCACACGTCTTCAGAGCGTGGTGCTTAGGTGAGTAAAGGTAAATTTGTCCTCGTGCTTAACTAATTAAGCACTACGCCATGAAGGCGTATGGGGAGTGGATGTATAGACCCACGTTTTCTTGACCTCGGCACTAGTTGGAGGTGAGTGGTCTGCTCCAAGCCATAGCCGCTTCACTCCCTAGGAAAGCGCCCCCTGTACCCACTGGATAGGAGGTTGGGTGGGCCCCAGAACCAGTCTGAACGACGTAGAGAA